GGAAACAAAAAAAAAAAAATGATAATCAAAATCTAACTCACATTTGCACGCGGCTTCTTTTTTTCTCTGCTTTCCCTTCCTTCTCTTCATGTCGTTTCATAGACCCAACAAGAGAGCCTCAAGAAGGACAATACCACCAAGGGCAGCACATTCTCGCCGCAGCAAATGTGCCTCTGGACGTAAAGCGTACATGACAGGGCATGTGGCGTGAAGATGATCTCGGCGGCTGTAGACGTGTTCAAGAAATTCAACTGCCTCGACATACAGCCGCTGATGCATCCTTGTCAAAGATGTTTGGGAACAGTCTATATATTTCCCGTTTTCTAGCTGTTTCTTTTTTTGTTGTTTCCGCCCCTCACCGCCCCTCCTTTCGGCGTCCATAAAGATGTGTGATTGCCCCAAGACGTCCAGCTCCAAATACTCATCACAATTGTCATCTTTCTCTTCGTCTTGCTGCCTTAATTTTTTAACGTTGCGATTGTTCCTGTCATTTGGGGTGTCACGGCACCTTTTTTCCTCACGTGCGGATGTCCACCAGTTCGGTGGCCGCCGTGGGGCACACAAAGGGCATTGCGAAAGGTGCAATTCACGTACCTCTTGCAGAACCGCTGCAAAGGCTCCCAATACCTCTCTCTTCTCCACTTTCAGGGACGGAGAGGCATGTTTCCTCAGAAATGTCAATAGTTTGCTCTCACTCCTGCCCTTCTCCATGGTTTCTGCTGCTGCTGCCGCCATTGCTGCCCCTGAGGACTCCCATCCACCACTCCCATCCCCACCCCCAGCGCCGCCACGGCTGTCAAGGGGTTCGGTCGACGGAAGCAACTCCGGTAGCTTGCCCCAAGCAACGGCCACAGTGGAGACAGTCGGGGAGTAGGGCCGCGCCTCTTCCTCTTGAACGTCCATCGGACTACATGGCGTTGTGGAGACCGTCCCGGCAGAGGCGCCAAAGCCGCCTCTCTCAGACATTCCTTCCGCCGCACCGCAAGTGGACGTTGATGACATTTCCGCTTTCCATTGAGGGTGCGGATAGCGCGAGTTGCGGTGATGGGCAAGAAGGGACCAGGGCTGCGGGACCTGCGTGAAAACACTTGACGCCCCACCCTTGAGTGGGGACGAAGAAACCAGCAAGGGCGATGTTGTGAGAATGACGTCCATATGACACAATCGGTGCGTGAGTGGAGGGGCTGCGGGGCTCGGGCCCGACTCCTTCCCGTTCTCTCCTCCTTTTCCTGCCCTGCAGCAGCCGCAGCCACACATATACACACGCACAGAGAGAGAGAGAGAGAGAAAGGGGTAGAAATCAAAAAGGTACTGAGAATGAGCAGAAGCCAATAAACCACTACCATCCCATTCAGCAAACAACTTCAAGAATAAATTCTAGAGAGGGATTGAAACAAGAAACATCGTGAAGTTGTACCCCCACCCCCCCCCCCTCAACTAAAAAAAAAACCTGGCATTGAAGGTCAAAATAAGGTGGTGGAGTGCTGTTACTGGTGGTGGTGGTGGGAGAAGTGAATAAAGGTAAAAATTGAATGTCCCTCCCAAATACTTCCCAATTCTTTGTCCTCCGTCTCCAGACACACAGACAAACGCACACAAACACGGGACGATCCCTCCCGTATTAAATGGGAACGCTATTGTCCTTGAGTTTCTGTGAGGGTGGTGAGTTTCCGTACGCCAATGAGGCGAGCGTTGCGCTATTTGTCTCGAGTAACTGCAAGTTGTCCATCAACCCGCTCTTCTCATCCTTTCGGCATGCCGACGGCGTGGCAACAAGAGGCATGGTTGATGACATGGATGATGTAATTGCCTGCAGTTTCGCTTCCCACCACCGCACCTTATCCACCGGCTCTTTTCTTTCAGAAGACTGCAGCAGCGACCCAGCATCGTGACGGTTCTCACCTGACGCCTCCATATCTTTTCCTCCATGCGGCACCTTCCACCGCTGCACGGTTGGGGAAAACCAAACACTGGAGTAGACCTCACCACCACCACCACCACCACCACTGCCTCTACTCGCAGGAGCAGCATCGGTAACGCATGCAGCAGTGTTACCACTACGCTTCAAACAATCTATTTGGGTCAGCAGCCGTCGCCTTTCCACTTCGACAGAGTCCTTCGTCTCACGTAGGAGATCTCTATCCTTTTTCACCTGCGCCAGTTGTCCTTGCAACTCCTCAACGCATTTGCGCAAGTACCGGCAATTCACATCACACTGTTGGGACTCTTCCTTCAACGCTTGTATGTTTTGTTCCAGTTCATGCAGTTGCGACCTCGCCGTGTCACGCTCCTCCAGCGCCGTCTTGACTGCAAGTTTCGTGCGGTGCAGCTCCTCATGCATGGAGTACCACTCATTCTTTTCTCGCCGCATGGTATCCTGCAACGTCCGTAACTTAAGCTCAACCGCGGCGATGGCGTCATCCCGCTCCCGAAGTGACTTCCTCTGCGTCTGAAGTGCCTCCTCCAAGGCGTTGTTCTCGCGAAGCAATTTTTCCATTCGCGAGGTGCGCTCCTCCGCCAGTGCCGCCGCCTCCGCCATAATGTCGGCGGTTTCGTCCAGTGAAGCTTGCAGACCATCCGCACGCTCCTTTTCGATGCGAAGGGTTTCTTGTGTGTGCTCCAGCCGTTCTTCCAGCGCGGCAACAGTACTACGCTCCTTGGCGCATGCAGCCTGAAGTTCTGCCAAGTCCTCCGCCATGCTGCGACCCGCGCGACACAACTCCGCGTAGGCACGACCAGCGACAAGAACATCGTCCCTTGTCTCACGCAACGCCAACTGTATGCCACGCAGCAACCGAGCAATCACACGGGTCGTGCCCTCCCAAACAACGGCATCGTCCATGTTGTCGCCAACCCGCTCCCCCGGCTGTTGGGATGAAAGGGACACCTGCAAGAGGCGTTCCAGTTCTTCCCCAGTGGGTTTACAGGACACAAATGTCACATGGGCTTGCGGGTGAGTTTTCGCTGCCGGCATCGTCACCATGAACTTTTCACTGTCACCATCACGAACAATATTTTGCCTCTGGCCCACGCGTTGCTGTTCCTCCTTGATGACATCAATGAATTCATCGCACTCACGGCTCACACTGTCACAGTTATCGGCACACTCAAGTGCCGCATTCACCAGCTCTGTCCATAAATTCCGTGTGGCTTTTCGCCTGCGAGCCAACTCCTCAGATGTGCGTAATTTGTCTTCCGCCTCTCTCTCCTTGTTTTTCTTCTGTAATTCTTCTCCTGCTGCGTCAAGCTGCTCCTGCAACCGTTGAATTTCCAGCTGATACGCCACTGCCTCGTCGGATAGTGTCTGAATATATGTGTCTGCCTTGGCGAGCTTCTCCACGACGACTGACAGCTCTCCTGTGGCCTCGGCCTCACGGCTTTGACTTGCCTCCAATTCCCTCTGCAGCTGCAGCTGTGCCTCTTGTGCAGCGACAAGTGCCGAATTATCCGCCGCTGCGTCCTTACGAAGAAGTTCCATCTCATTACGGCTCTTTTGCATTTCCTCTGCAAAGCCTTTTTGCTTCTCTAACAAGTCGCGTATGATGTGCTCCAGCCGCTGCCGCACCGCTGCGTGCTCGGACTTGACGCGGAAAAGCTCCTGTTCACGTAATTTGGCGTCCCGTGTGCTCACCTCCGCCTTTTCCTTCCAGCGCTGCAGCTCCCTCTCCATTGCAAAAAGACGACGGTGTTTCTCAAGGCTTGTCATGTCAACATCATACGTGCGCCGCTGTTGCGTAGAGTTTCCTGCTGCAGGTCCGGCTGAAGTGCCACCGGCGATACCGCCGCCCACATCGGCATCACTGCTCGATCGCCGATGGTCGGTGGAACTGGAACGTATACGACGTACACCTATTGGCTGCATGCTCCTCCTCCTTTTTCCTTCTTCCTTTCGTCGCCTGGTGATATACACGGAAAGAAGGGTGGGTGGGAAAAAAGAAAGGGAAAGAGGTCTTTTTCTGCACAGGGAGAAAATAAAAAAGGTTCAGGGTGACGTTGCCCATGACACCTGCCATGCCTCTTCTCTCACCGTTCCCTCTCCCAGCGACTTCGGAGGATTGGCACACACGCACACACAGTTGCAGGGCCTCATGTTCAATGTCTTGAGGAGCTTGACGTCGCTGGAACACATGGACAAGGAAAAAACGCATGGATAAAGGTAAAATGCATAGGCTAACGCATGTTCCCAACAGCAGAAGATATTCCAATTCCCTTCTCTTCCTTCTTTTACCTCGATTTAGTTGGCGCATCGCTACCGCAGCCATTTGTGTAGTAAAGACACACAGAGCACATAACCAAAATTCCAGCCATGAAATCTTGTTGCGTGATTGGCTCCCCAAGGAGTACCGCTGCCAAAACGACCATAAGGATCACTTCTACGGCCGAGGCAAATGCCTTCACAATGACGTTGATAAATTTCAGAATAAAGGCAGTGGTGAGACCATTCAACGTTCCAGACAAAATAATAAGGAGAAAAATAATGTGTGGGTGACGAAAGATACTGTCTTTAAGATACTCCTGCGGGGCAATCATGAGACCCAGAAGCAAATTAAATAGAATGCCGTACAAATACATAAAGAAATTCTGCAGATGTATACTGATGTGGGTTTCCCGCTTTAAGGCAACCTCGTTGTACACGCCGGCGAGGGATGAAAGAAATGCCTGCAGCAGCATGGCCAATATGCGCACATCCACCGCCTGCATCACGGTGGGTGAGATATACTTTATGACAAGACCGAGTGTCAAAATCGCAAGCGCTGCCCACTGTCGGATCGAAAGGACCCGCTTGAGTAAAAACACAAAAAGAAATCCTGTAAAGAGAATGCGGGTCTGCATAAATAACTGCAGCGTCCCCGGGTCAAACAGACGAAGGTTCAGGTACGTCAGATTGTTGTAAAGCGCATAGAGAAAGGCGGGTGTGGCGTAGACCCAACTCATCCGCCACAACTCTCCACGTCTCGGCCCAAACGTGACGCTAAATAACAGGAACTCACCACTCAACGCATACCGGAGTATCACTGACGCAATGGTCTTCGCCACCTCAATCGACATCACAATGGATGTGCTATCGTACGATAAAATCCCCCGCTTCTCAAGAACTTTACTGTGCCTTATCGTAAGAAAAAGCATGATGCTTGTGCCAACGTACATTCCTGACAGTACAAGGCTTGGTAAGAGGCCAAACTGCGGGGTTTCAGTCGGTACCGTTTGTGGGGTTTCACTCACATCCTCCACATCCTTCTCCACTTCCACCTGAACTTCACGTGGCATCTAATTATAGACAAGAAATGCGGCCCTGTAGATAATAAGATGGAGGGCAACAGCAACATCAAAACATGGCACACGGATGGAGAGAGAACGAGAGAGAAACCCCTCCCATCCAAACATATGAGCAGGCATAACAACACGCAACACACAAACCACGAGACCAAAGAGGGCATAGAGAAAAAGAGAAAAAGAGAAAAAGAGAAAAAGAGAAAAAGAGAAAAAGGACCCATAAAAATTGCATTGAAAAAACAGGGGTGGTGGTCGCAGGCACGTTAAAAAAGAGAAAGAGAGAGAAAAAAAAAAAGGCACATTAATGAAGAAAATCATATGTAACGTTCGGCCATAGCACACATTGCAACCAGCAGTAAAAAAAAAAAAAAATCTTTCCTTTTTTTTTTTTTTTTTTTTCGCCCCTCTCTCCCACCTCAAAATTCTGCCCCATCAAATTTTTCTTTTTCTTTCTTTTTCCCGTCTTCCTTCTCGCTCTGTTTTATCGTCTTTTTTTTTTTTATGTTTTTCTTCGTTATCGCCCTTTACGCAGTGGAGCGAAGCACAACCAACCAACACCCCGCATCTTTCACTGACGTGGGCGTCATGATTTTAGACACGGAGGAGGGTGGCACTAACTGCACGGTTGTTTCTCCCGTTATGACCGATCTTAAATAATGCAGCATCATCCTGCTTGCCGCAGCAGCCCCGTACTCATGCTCCCACAAACACAGTTGACAGAGCCGCTGCACGCTGATGACGGCGATGGCATCACTCGGTTTGACTTCCGTCGTGTACTGTCCTTCAAGGGCCCACCATACACGAATGACACGGCAGATACGGCGTTCTAAAACATACGGTAACACTGAGAACACCACAACGTCATTCTCGGCACATTTCTTCGCAGTAAAACTCTCCAGCACCTCAGATGGGGTCAGCGTTGTCACATCAAGCGGTGTCATCTCCGTGGGAGTCAAAAAGAGACAACGACAAACATCCATCAATTTCGGGTTAACCATCGGGCCGCTGCTGCTCTGCATCCACAACGCATATTGTTCGCTGGATATCTGTCTTGCCCACGACGCCTTGCCATGCGAGATATCCCTCGCATCGTTGCCTTCCGAAGAAGCTGGGAGAGCGTCCACATTTGCCGTCTCTTCCATATGCTCCTGCGAGGCGTAACGACCCGAAAGTGAGTGACGTCCTCCTATTTGCCGTGGGTGCCGGTGACGGCCCCGATCCTCCTGTAAACGTGATCGCAACAAATCCGTCCACCGCTTCAGAACCTCGCGACGCCGCTTCCCATTTCGCTCCATTTGTGCCACGGCGGGGTTGCCGGTGTAAATGAGGAGGAAGTGCAGCAGAGAGCGATATTGTGAGGCAAATGGCAGACTCGCCCACTGGATCAGCGCCGACATCCGCCCCAGTGAAATGGGGGCGCCACTAAGAAAAAGGAAAAAAAAACCCAACTGCTCGTTCACTTGTTGAAGAAGCATCGGCTGAGATTGGGTGAGTTGCGGTGCGTTCACAAGCATGCTGCTCAGAAACCCCTCCCTCGCCTCAAAACACCAACGCCGAAGAATGTCTTTCCCCTCCACCGAATCCCGCAGTTCCTGCGGGGCGGATACAGACGGCGATCTTGAAATACTCTGCCCCTCCGCTGTTAACAACTCTCGAAGAAGAAGCGGTGGCAACTCACGCTCATCGAATGCATTCACCCATTGTGTCATGAGACGCATAGAAATTGTCATGTCCTCATGCGTGCCGTTTCTCTCGGTTGCCGCGTCCTTTTCATCCACAACATCCTCCGTCTCTGTGAAGGCATCCAACATGAACCACAGACTCAGCATGTAACTCCACCGAGACGGCACACGTGAGTTTCCTCTTGTTGCTGCCATAGCACCATGGTCACTTCCACTGAAGCAATGCCTCGCTTCCTCCGCCCGCACAAGTCGGCGTCCCAAGTGCAGCCATGTCTCCTTCTGCTCCACGTCTGTCGAAGCGAGAATCAGCGAAGGCAAATTGGGATAGCACACATATCCCGCCGGGGAGACACGAAACTGTGAGTCGATGGCTAGTATTAAGCGCACGGTGGACTCAACGGGACAGGGAGAAATCCCATCCTGGGTGGGCAACGCATTGGCCGGCCCAGTTGATACAGACATTAGAAACCCTCGAAGATACTCAACAGGACTGTCTGTTACAGCCTCTCCCTCCTTCTCCACGTCATCGTCTCCCACACTCGCCACCACCGGTGTCTCTGTAGCCTTCCTGCACGCCCCTTCTTGAGATGACATGGATGTCGTTTGGACGGTCTCCTTTGCCTCATGGTATTTTCGCTTGACCAGTTCCACAAGTTCATTTGACGTGAGCGGCTTCGAGGAAAGCAGCACCTGTCGCACCATGATTTCACGTATGCAACGTTGTGACTGCAAAGACAACATGACTGTGGCTGGCCGAGTTGCCCCTGTAGCAACGGCAACGGCGGCGTTGCCGTTAGTCGCTGTCTTGATGACTAACTTTATCCATGTGCGTCGCATCGATCTCTTGTATGTAGACAAGCAGAAGCAAAAAATAATAATAATAATAATAATAATAAGAAAGAGAGAAGCAGACGGGGATAATTACAAAGGAATTATGCATGCGACTTGTGACTGTCTCAATCCATCCAATCTGCGACGGCCGTGCATCGCTCCCACTGGTGTTGCCGTATGCCCACCAGTAGCCTGAAAAACGCCTCCGCTAAAATAAAAATACACACACACACACAGATACACATGCAAAAAAAAAAAAGGATGTTTGCAGAGAGAACTGGGCCGCACCGCATGGCCCATCAAATGAGCGCAACTTCTTCTTTCCATCAGCTTCAATGGATGTCGTATTCGGTCAGCGGTGCTTCCTTATAATCGCCAGCCGCTTCATCTCACGTTCCACGGCCCCAGCAATATCGTTGAAGATGCGCCTTTCTTCCTCCGTTTCACTCTCCTCGGCGGTGTCATTCACCACCGGCGTTGCATTCAATCCCGCACCTATTGACGTTCCTGCAGCGTCACAAGGCGGAAGCCTCGCTAGAATTTGTCGGAGTGTCTGCGTCACGTCTCCGCTCTCCGCCGCACCATTCTCCACGGATCCCGCGTCATCGTCATCATCGGTGCTACAACTACTCATGACAGCATCACTAGAGGCAGTACTATTCGAAGTGCCATCATCGTCATCGTCATCACTCTCTTCTCCTTCCTCTTCCTCTTCCTCTTCCTGCTGCTGTAGATCTTCATAATGCTGCAAAAGCCTCAGCAAATCTGCTACTGGCCCTGCCTTTTCTCCCCACCGCCGTGTTATTTCTCGCGCCACCGCGAGTGCCTGCGTCGTCTGTCGCTGCTGCAGAATGTGAAGGAGCGGCACTGCCAGTGCGATGTAATCACGCGTCACGTCACCGGCGTCCACGGGAGAAGAAACGGATCCCGCCGGCGTCGATGACACGGCAGGGCCACCGCAGTGAGGGACGCACTGCACCATGCGGTCCCCCACTTCCCCTTCCCACAGCAGAATTCCTCCCGGTGTGAATGACGTCCCCCTGGCGAGTGGCAAAAAAACACCGGCGACAACACAAATTATACCACCCCTCCCCCACGGAAAAACAAAAAAAACAAAGAAAAAAAAGGGAACATGTGCCAAGAAACACCGCGCCAAAGAAAATAATGCCAAAATCTATTGGAGAAACCGCCGCATGCAATTAACACTTCACATCACGTCATCTTCATTAAAATATTTTTTTTTTTCTACTTTCTCTTATTTTCCCAAATAAATCCGATGGCCTGCACGCTCCCCACCCCACCATCGCAGAGCACACCTCCCTCCCCGTCCTCCAAAGAGGAATTCGCAGCGGAGGGCGCAAAACACACACACGCACACACACACAAATACACAGTTAGCCATCCGCCTCGGGCCCGTGCGGTGTCTTAATAATCCGTCGTCGCCGACAACCAACAAAATAACACATCAATAAAACAAAACAATCCATACTTAAGAAGGGAAAACAGAAGAAATGCCTTTTCTCCACGTAAAGGTACTGCTGAGAAGCATCCGTATTATCATTATCACTATTTCTATAAGCATCAACGGTAACCAACAAATATACATACAAAAACAAACAGCAATAGAAGTTTCTCTTCAAAAATGCATACGCATATAAATAAATACATAAATAAATATATATAAGTATGCAACTTCATGGATATGCGCAAATTTATATCTTCCACAAAGATGACATTGCGTCGAGGCAAGAAATAAACAACAACCACCACGCATTTTCATAAATACACAAGGAAAAATGGGAGAGGGAGTAAAGGGGGGAAAAGAGAAATGCAGGGAAGTACCATGGATGGGAATGCATCACAGTCAGGAAAGAAAAACCCCAAAACAACAACAACAAAAAAATCAGAATAATCTTCTGGGCCGCTGGCCGAATCCTGCAGTTTCTCAACAACAGAAAACAAACGAGATAGGAATAAGAAAGGGATGGACGGAATAGGAGTGGGGATTCACCATACCCTCAAAGTTTGCCACCAAGTAGGTACATACATACATACATGTATCCTCCGTTGGCCTCAATTGTGGCCCGCTCACTCTATTCGGATGGGTGCATATAAATATAGTTAGATATGGCGTTCATTCCTTACGAAGTGGCAGACTTTTGGGGTCCACCACCAGCCACAACACCCCACCGCGTGGTGGTGGGAATCACAAAAGAAGGGGAGGATGGGTGAAGGTAAAACAAATAAAATAATTATATTGCCGCTATCGGTGTTCCCCTGGTCCCCCACCCCTCCTTTTAATAGTCGTGCTCTTTTCAAAAAAAAAAAAGTCCATACGGTAGAAAAGTGTCGTAATGAAGTGTCCATTCCGCTTCATCGGTATGGATGCATATCAATGGCGGTAGCCGGCTCTCCTCGCGATTATTCCCTTCGCACAGTTTTCATCACTACAATCGATGATATTCTCAGCAGCAGCAGAAGCAGCAGTAAAAAAAAAAAAAAAAGAGAGAGAGAAAGAAATAAAGATGCACGCACACACAAAAAATAAATAATTAAATAAATCTAAAAAACAACAACAACAACAAAAGCAAACATCACTGCAGTGATGCACGGTCTCTCCCCAGTAACTGATCCTTTTCTTCACATCCTTCCGCTGCAGCCAACAACGAGGCAGTGCCAGTGGACCTCAGACGACGTAAGGATTTCTTCCGCTCCTTTTCTTCGGCTTTTTCATTCCGCCAACGCGCTCGCTTGGCCCGCTCCACCTCGCGGACACCGTACATCGCCGGGACGAGTACACATATACCAACGTAGTGGAGCATGGATGTGATGAGAAACGTAAACTGGTAGCCTTTGGCGCCGGCAATGTATCCGCCAATCACAGCGCTCCCTGCCCATATGAAGGATGCAAAGCTCTCAAAGGCGGACCATTTGGCACGACTGGACTTTGGCACGCAGTCCATGATGACGCTGCGGGAGACGCCAATGGTGCAACTCATCAGTGCATTGCGAAGGACAAAAATTGGGACCAAAATGGACAGATGGAGATGTGTTACCCCCATCAACAGGAGTAACGTCGCCCCTATAAAACGTGCAGAAAACACGGCAGCAACACGACTAACAAAACGCTCACCCATATACCGAACCAGGAACGATAACGTGGCGGTGGTGATGGAGGAGACAATGGATGCACTCAGAAGAAGAACTGGCGTCATATGATAATCGTTCACGAAGAAAAGCGGGATATATCGCATCGTCATGCCAGAACCAAAAACCAGAAAAAAATCACAGAGACACAGCAAATATGGCACGGTCGACCACTCACACAACTTATTTGCATGGTGCCACACCGCTGCCACCAGTCGTGCCGCAGGGTTTCGCCTTTCCTGAGCCTCCATATACTCGTGATATTTTTGCGCACTCCGCATTGTTAGCTGAGCAATGACGGCCTCATGCTGCAATACCACAGCCCCAGCCGATGCCACACTCCTTGACATCACAGGAACTGACGACAGGGCCTCGCTCTTCATCCCGTTTTCGCTTACAAGGGGCTGCCTCAGTGACTCCAAACTTTCTTTGGAATCCATAATTGATTCGCTCGCCTCGGGTAATAATTTCGGTTTCGTAGTAAGATCTGGGGCATCTGTGTCTTCGACAACAACGGCACACTGCGGCACGTGGCCACCCGTACTTTCATCCAACACATACTTGTCCTTCAGCGTGAAGAGTAACAATTGGGCGATAGGATGCAACGAGACACCCGTGTAAACAAGAACCTTCATGCTACTCAACTTCCACTCATTGCCGAGTTTAACCAGCATCAAAAGGGAAGTGGCGGAACCAATGCAGTCACACAATGTCTGGTTGGCCCACTTCAGATTGTACACAAAGTCACGCCGGCCAGTTTCTACGCTGTCAGCAAACAGCACCTCGACTCCCGTGGAGACCATCCCAGAGAACATTCCCCACAGAACGAAGGCAAAAAAGAAGATGTGTACCTGAAGCACAGATAAGGCATAAATGGAGAGCGCTGCAGCCGTAATGCCGCTGAATGCGCCAAGCCGAATAATCGTCTGCCGCGGCAATTCATCGGAAAGGCCAGCAATGACTGCCCCCACCACCTGCGCCGTACAAGAGGTAGCCGACAACCAACCGACGGTGGTATCACCAAAGGTGCGGCTGATAAGGACCTGAAACACCTGTGAGAGCCACAGTGAGAAACACGCCCCGTTGGCAAAGCAGAAAATTAAAACACGCCGGACATTGGGGTTATGCAGCGCCTCCCAGTCACCACGGAAAGGTGCTTGCGCATGGCTGCTGGCACGGGCATCTTCGCTCATACTTCACGCACGCCTGACTTAAA